TCTTGCTTCTGCCACAAATTCCCCCAAGCTGTGAGCCTTCCAACCTTCTAAGTATTCCTTTATATGTGGTTCAGAGTTCTGGGATCATCCCCTGAGCCTGCTTGGTCGGGTATTCTGTGTCGTTGTTGGCGGAGCTCTCTGCTATACATCCACACGATCTGCCATCTTGTTTGTTCTCTAAACTCACTAGTGAAAATTTGTAAGCCAATCACTTTGTGCCTTTACAGTCCCTCCCCCCATTTTAAGTAGCCAATGTCTAAGTTGCCCATTCCTATCAACCCTGTGTACAGAAGGGATGGGAATGATCCTTGCTGTAAAGATTCTTTCCCTCTTGGTTGGTATTTTAAGATACTACATCCGTAAGTATAGACCCAGTTCATCAGATTGTACCTATTTACATATCTTTAAAATTTTGTCCCCTTCCTCCTTTCCTTCCTCTAGTTGGGTTCTGAACATTGACCCATTGAAGCTAGGTCCAGTGGGCACTATCTGCAAGTTTGGACACCCTTGTGCATATCCCCTCATATCAACTGACACTTTACTCTCAGCTCTAGCCCTGTGTGGCCTGCCTTTGTTCATGGGCTCAGGAGTTTCCAGGTCTCACTGTATTTCAGGCCATCCAGCTCTCACCATACTCCAGGTGGATGGGGGTTTATGTAACTTGGTTGGACTACGACCCTCTCTTCATTGCTGCTTTTCCCCCACTTCCTTTCAGCAGCAGACCAATGTGGTCGCTAGCAAGCTTACATGCCTGCTTGTGTATGTCCTTTGAGTTTCAGTCTTTGGAGGGGTTTTATCCTGAACGGACTTGATTGCTTTGCCTTGATGGCTCTCAGAGAACAATTTGCCTGTACTTGTAGTAGCCAATCAGACTGCTGTTTTTTTCACTGCTGGTCTTTCAAAGAAGTATATTCTGTTCCTCTAGCTGTTCTGGAATGGTCTTCTTGCTTTTCAAGTGGGATTTTCCTATCTCACAAGGTTCTGGATGGGGATTATCTATCTGTACTTTTAATAAGCATAGAATTACTTTTGTTTTTCTACTGGGTTTGTTTTTAAGATTTTGTTTGAAGAGAGGGTTCTGAGCCTAAGAGAGTTTGTGAAGTACTAGTATACGCTGCAATTGAGCCATGTAACTTTCAGAGCCAAGAGAGAATTTGACAAAACATGAGGAAGTTTGGAAAGGAAACCAGCTGAGATCTTTCAGGGTGGCCAGAGAGATAGATGGCAGCAGTTAGTACCTGAAGTGGCCACTGTTGAATATTTTGACTACAAGGAAGAATGGGTTTCTTAAGTAGTAAAAACATTAATTACTAGGATGTGACCTTGAAGGATATTAATATTTAATCTTTTAAATATTTGCCCTTAGCTCCTAGAGTTAAGTAAGCACAAGTCAAAAAGTGTTGCTAGGGATTCAGATCATACACACACAGTTCTTTTCCCAAACAAAACATGTTTAAACATATCCCTGTTATCAGTAGATGGCTTCAGACAAATTCTCTTATAAGTACACTTGTCTTGCTGTGGTGCTGTGGACTAAGCACTGGACCACAAGGTTGGTTTGACCCACAAGGTTGTCAGTTCAAGCTCATCAGCTGCTCCTTGGAAACCCTACACGGTTGGTATGAGTTGAGACCAACACGATGGCACTTAAAATACCCCAACAAATCTTGATGGGGTTATCTTAAAAAAAAAAAAAAAAGGTCCAAGCAAAACAGGGGATTCTAAGGGAATCTGCTGGGCCACTTAAATGCACGGTAAAGATGTCAGCTCAAGAGGTCATAGTGACTGTTTTTTGGAATTCCAAAGAGTAATCTTTTTTCAAAGTGCACAGGACCATCACAGGAGCTTATTAGGTAGAAATTTTAAGAAAACTAAAAATTGCACTGATGAGAAAATGTCAGGAAAGTGGTGCTGAAGGATTCCTTTCTATCATAGCAGTGTATCTGCCCATTCTTTGAAAGTAGCAAGGCCTGCACTTTGAGCATTTCCTTGGGAAACCCTATGCCATGTACCCTACAGCCCTGGTCTTGGTCTTTCAGGTTTTTTTTGGTTCCCAAAACTCAAAGAACATTTAAAAGGAACATGATCTGAGTCTCTCAAGGATGCCAAATGCAGTTTTGATATGGGATAAACCAGAGTGCAGATTATTCACAGAAGAGATAGAGGGAAACACTGCTTTTAGAAGCATACAGACCTAGGTGGAGGATATGTCAAACAGTAGTTTCACATTTTGATATTTTTGTATAATAAGTTAAGGCTTTTATGATATTGTAGCAATACTTTATTTACTCACATTTGTTAAATAGAATAAATTTGAAGGTAAAATTGCTAAATCCAAGTTTTTCATGTGTGCGTGTCTCCATCCTATAAGAGGCAAGAAATAAGTTTGCCAGAAGGTACTGCTGATTGCTTTCATCACAATTCTTTATTTGATAAAGGAAAAAGCAGTACATTTGGGGAAAAATAAGATAAACTATGAGAAGTAAGTTTGATGAAGTAACTAGTGTACATGCTGTCTTAGTTAATTCTCACTCTAGCACAAGTTCCTTATCTAGGTTCTGACCAGTAGCCATCTACAGACTGGCAGCAAGTCCACAGTTTGGGGTAAAGTGCTGTCAGCTTGGTTCCCACCCTTAGTGACTCTGTACAGGCTTTCCAGGAAATGGTTGGTGAGCCTGAACAGCTGACCTTGCAGTTCAAACTGGCTTTGCAGTCAAGCACATTAACCCACAGTGCCACACTAGGATTCCAGTCCATACTTTTAGTAGCGCTGAAGTATGAGAGTCTTTTCAGAAAGCACAGTAAAATTACATGTCAATCCTGATGTTCTCTCACATGACTAAATAATTTATTGTTTCTGGCAGTTCTACATGCTGAATTCAAGATCTACAGACAGAGTATTACAGTGGGAAAGAATTGATTGCCAAGGAACTCCTCCATCATCAAAGGACAAACTTGGTGTCTGGGTGTATAAAAACAAGTGAGTTAATAGGACTATATGATTTATATGTGGAAAGTGGTTTAGCTATTAATCATGGATGTACCTCAGAGCTGTTATGAGCATTAAGTAATACATGAAAACACTCAACATAGCACCTGAAAAAAAGTTAAGGACTCAGCACATGTTAGTCATTGTTTTAATAATCATTTTCATATACTTGTATTATATAGCATATAAGAAAAAAAAATCCTTTGAATTTTTATAGTGTATTGATTTTCTACCAAATAGGTTAATTTTTTTTGGAGGGTATGGATATTTACCTGAAGATAAAGCACTGGGAAATTTTGAATTTGATGAAACATCTTTTTGGGTAAGTGAAATTTCATGTTTACATGAGGTCTACTTAGTATGTGTTTTTCACTTTTGCTGTGGGTTCTGTTCAGTTTGCCTTGCTAACCAAATAGCAAGTTATAAATTTATATTTGTAAAAGAACTTAGACATTCTTATTTTTCCTAGAATTCTACTCATCCAAGAGGATGGAATGATCATGTACATATTTTAGACACTGAAACGTTTACCTGGAGCCAGCCTGTAACTACTGTGAGTTACTGAAGGGTAATTATTAAGGCAAGGTGCTTAGATTTAAATGGGGATATAAGGATTTGGGACTGGGGAGTCTTGGTGTAGTGATGTACGATAAGCACTGGACTGCGAATTACAAGGTCAGTGGTTCAAACTCACCAGCTGCTCCTTGGAAACAACTCCATGGCATTTAACAAAAAAGAGTTGAGTCCTCAGATAGTGCAAAGGGTTAATGGGCTACTAACCTAAAGGTGGAGTCCTGGTGTGGTGCTATGGGTCAATGCGCTGGACTGCAATGTCAGTTTGAACCACAAGGTCGGCAGTTTAAGCTCACCAGCTGCTCCTAGGAAACCCTGTACAGGGTCACTATGGGTCAGAACCAACTCCGCAGCAGTATTTTACATGGTAGTTATTGTTTACATTTAAAGAAATGACCTAGTATTAGATTGGAACTTCAGTTCCTCAAATACAAAATTTCTTTCCCACTGAATCAGATTTTTTATGAGGAGGCTTCAAAAAGTTTTTGGGAAAATTGTTTTATCATTCAATTCCATTTTTATACATATAGCCCCCTCAGAATGTACTACCTTGCCCTTTAAGGGCAAAAAAAATTAAAGCATTTGATTGATATATTAACCAGTCTGTTTGTTAATATATCTCAAAGATTAAAACCCCAAGTTTTGGTAGTCAGCCTTTGTACTGCATTGTCTAGAAGTTTTGTGCTTCAGTTTAAAAGTTGAAGTGTCTTGCAAATTGTAGCATGTTTAAAGACCAAAGACCATTTCTTTGTGGTAGTTTCCCTGCATTTATAAAAAAAAGGTCACTTATACTGCATTGACTTTTTTAACAGGGTAAAGCACCTTCACCTCGTGCTGCCCACGCCTGTGCAGCTGTTGGAAACAAAGGCTTTGTGTTCGGAGGCAGATACCGAGTAAGTATGGAATAGTTTCCATGACTTGTTTTTGAATTATTCAAAATGGTAACTTTAAGTATCCTTTTTTAGGATGCTAGAATGAATGACCTTCACTATCTTAATCTGGATACATGGGAGTGGAATGAATTGTAGGTATCACTTAAGATTTATTTTAGAAAAGTTATAAAAAATAATTCAGGTTTTTTTCCTATTCTCTAGCAGTGTGTGCATATACATACATACATACATACATGTTTACATATTAAATTTTACAACTACATATTTAAATAAATAAACACTAAATCTTTAAGAAATTCTATCTTCATTTTTATCTTGCCAGTTTCTATTAACTGTGTGTGTGCGTGGCATATAGCAGATGCTCATGTTGGTTGAACAGATCTAAAGTTGACACTGCCTTCAGAGAAAACAATTCAGTCTAAAGCATATATTCCTTTACATCAAGAAGCATTTGTAAAGTCTTTTAACAATTCCATAAATATTTTAAGAAAACTTCTTCAACCCATATTTCCCTGCATTATATACAATAGCTTCTTTTAAACATAGATATTGTAACTTAGCTATTGTTTTCAGAATTCCACAAGGCATATGTCCAGTTGGCCGATCTTGGCACTCACTCACACCAGTTTCTTCAGATCATCTTTTTCTCTTTGGAGGATTTACCACTGATAAACAGCCACTAAGTAAGTCTTTAACAATGACCCTGGATAGGGTTTCCAAGGAGTGGCTGGTGGGTTTGAACCACCAACCTTGTAGTTAGCATTCTACTGCTTATTCTGATAGCTATGGGAAAAATATATATTTTATATGTTCTAGAGCATTATAGAGTTGGTTGGAAGGTTTGCTATTAATTGGGATTCTATAAACATATCCATTAATTGTTCTCATACTATTCTATAAATATCCATTCTCTTCCTTCTAAAAGGCCCTCTGAGGAGCTATAACATCAGGGATTTTACTTAACTGTTGTAGAGAAAAAAAAGAAATACACTTTCTCTACTCATAATCTAGCTTATTACCGTACCCTTTAAATATTACATTGACAGACTAATAGTTTTTTTTTTTTTTTCTTTGTTTCAATTAGGTGATGCCTGGACTTACTGTATCAGTAAAAATGAATGGATACAGTTTAATCATCCCTACACTGAAAAACCAAGGTATGAACTACTTAAATTACTGAGCCTCTATAGTGTGCAAGCTCACCAGCTGCTTCTTGGAAACCCTATACACGGTCACTATGTGTTGGAATCGAGTCGACAGCAAGTAACAACAACATAATGTGCAAGACTGAAAAGGATGTTTTGGTTGCGTTAAATCCATTACTCTTATGAAGAGCCTAGCATTCACTAAGATTTTATTTCATGCTTTTTCAAAGAAAGCAAAACCAAAGTTATCTTATTATAAATGCCTTCTTCTCCATTATTGGTGAATGAATAGGGCTGAAATCTGTTTTTTTGTCTTTTACCTTAAAATTATTAACACAGTTACTTGATATGAACTACGTCTAGGTTTTCAAAAAGAAGGGAAAGGGAGAATTCAAAAACCATAAAGAATGTACATGGGGGTAAAAAAAAAAATCAAGAAGGTTCTGCTATAGTTGTGCTATTGTTGTTGTTGTTAAGTGCCGTTGAGTTGGTTCCGACCCATAGCGACACCCTGTACAGGTTTCCGAGGGTGTAAATCTTTACAGGAGTAGAAAGTCTCATCTTTCTCCCGTGGAGCGGCTGGTAGTTTCGAGCTGCTGACCTTAAGGTTCGCAGCCTGATTCGTAACCACTACGCTACCAGAGCTACCTACAGTTGTGCTATACTACAAAATTAATTTAGAATTTAAATTACTAAGAGAGAAATAGGTCTTTTAAATATTTGTTCCTAAATTAGTTATTTTTTTAGTTTTGATTAAATAGAATTGTTAACCAAGATTGCCAAAGGAGAGGATACAGTAAAATTTTTGTTTAAAATACATTTAGATAGGTTTATGTACCTGTTCTTTAATACATGTTCTTTTAATACATTTGCCAGACTTTCAGCATTCCTCCAATGTTTTGTGCAAGACATTTAGTCTTATTTCTGGAAAGGGGCCTGAGCAGCTGATATAGATCACTAAGACATGGGGAACAGAACATCCCATTCATAATACTCATTGCCTACATAAAGCTACAAAAAAAAAATCAATGTCAAAAGATATTCTCTCTCTAGCTATTTTTGCTTTTTACCATTATGTTTGGTCTGAACTCTCAAAGATCTTGTTGTATCCTATTAGCTCTATTGTAGAGTGTAAACAGTAAGTTTTTTCAAACTTACTTTTTGTTTTAATTGTAGGTTATGGCATACAGCTTGTGCCAGTGATGAAGGAGAAGTAATAGTTTTTGGTGGGTGTGCCAATAACCTACTTGTCCATGACAGAGCTGTAAGTATAGCACACTGTGTTAAGAGGGCACTTTGTAGTATTACTTTGTGAAGCACCTGTTTTATATGTTGTATCTTTCAGGCACACAGTAATGAAATACTTATATTTTCAGTCCAACCAAAATCTCTTGTAAGGTAAGTAACTTTTACTTGGTACTTTCAAGATTTTGAAAAATCAGGTTTATGTGTCATTTCAGGGCAATAATGAATCTTAAATTATTACCCCCCCACCCCCCAAAAACATATTAACTTCTATAAACTTTTTTGGGGGGTGAGGGTAATTTTAGACTCACTATTGCTCTGAAATGATCTGAACTGTAAATGCAATCAATCATTTTCTCCTCCCTATTCTCTTTCAGGCTAAGCTTAGAAGCAGTTATTTGCTTTAAAGAAATGCTCGCCAACTCATGGAATTGCCTTCCAAAACACTTACTTCACAGTGTTAATCAGAGGTTTGGTAGTAACAACACTTCTGGATCCTAAGGCCTCTTATCACATTGCATGGACAGTAATTCTGTAAACATTGGAATGGTATCATTTGTATAATTGTATGCATTGTAGTTTGCAATATTATTTTAAATGTGCATGTGAATGGCCTAGAGAACCTATTTTTGTGTCTGAGAAGTTTAAATGTATTTAATACCAATAATTGTCCTCTGTTAAAGCAAGAGAAATTTAATACTGAGGCTTTTTACCTTAAGAAATTGTAGAAACATCACTATCAAAGTAATGAAGTTATTTTTCAGCCTCACATTGTAACTGTAACAGGATTGGTTTTTAAGGGGAAAAAAGTGCTCTTGTGAAGAAAGAAAACTGGGGAGTGAACAACAGCTGTAACTCATGAAAGCATGGAACTAATGTGAGACTTTTCTCCCCATGAGTTCAGTTCAGTTAGAAGACTAGCCAAAGCCTAAAAGGGAAGAAATTAAGATTAAAAAGTGATGGTGTATAAATGCACAGGAATTATCAGTCCTTTATATATCTGACAAGTATAGATAGATGAGGGCTGAAAGAAATACATTCCGTCACTCCTCAGGGTTTTCAAGATACTAAGCTAAAGTTCAGCTGCCCTCCCCACACAAAATAAAACACTACTGTGATTAGCCTAAGTAATATATATATATATATATATATATATATATATCCATGTATTAAGACTTCATATTATATACATAATATCAAGTAAATAGTCAAGCAACTGAGCCACTTCACTATTCAATTTTTTTACAACATGAAATGCATACTTAGATTTAACCTCCCAAATTTCAAGTAAATAGGGAAATAACTACAGTTGTATACAATTTTAGTATTTAAATATTTTAGGAAATCCTACCATAGTGTTTCTTCTATATAAAACTGGAAAAAAAAACAAACCAAGAGTAAGTCCTTTTGGCGAATAGAGAGCACGGCAATCTTTAGTTCATTATTTAAATTCGGAAGTCTTGTTGTTGTTAACGTTGTTGTTACATGGTCTTTTTCATCTTTCAGTTTCCAAAAGACTACATAAAATTGGCTCTTCTCAAATATTTTATGATCTCATTTTAGCTATTTCTTTTTTGCATTCAGAAGATTGGGTGCAGATACTTTCACTTTGCCAGGAATATTTCTTGATAAATCTGTGTCCTAAAAAGAGAAAAGTACTGAGTATCCTTCAAATTCTACATGGTTTTGTGTATTACTAAACAATTTTGTATACTCTGCTGTCAAAAGAAAGACATTTCCAAAATTCTCAGCAGAAATGATTTTCTTCTTTTACGGGTTTAGCTAAGAGAGCAATTTACGCCATGAAGTAAGAGCGAACACTGAAAACTCTAATTACTAACTTTTTATTGTACCACCAATCTCCACAGAGTGCTGGAAGAAAACTTTACCTTTACACTGCGGAATAAATCTTTTTCTCTTGTAGTTGCTTCTTTAGAATGCATGAAACTATTTAAAGCTGTTTTTGCAGCTGTAAACAGAAAATAGAAAATCTGTTTGTGTTCATCCACAGAAGTGTTTAAAATTACAATATAAAACTAAATTTAAAAATACCTTTTCCCTTTTTCTGAACTCCAGGAGTAAGCTTCACTTTGTATCTTTAAAAAGGAATCACATGATAGATTTTTATAAAACAATTCATAAAAGTCATTATTGTATCAGCTGTTATGAGTGAACTAATGGTTACTTACTTATAGTTTGCCATGATGGTATAAGGGGCACATATTGGAATGGCAAACAGTAGAATATCTTCGGGATGTGGCTGCCCTGTCAAAGAATCTAACAGATTTTCCTAAAAGAGGAAAATAAAAGTAATTTATACCAACCTTAAAAAAGGAAAACCTAGAAACATGATTACATGTACCCTTTTATGAATACATACTTCTCTCCAGAGTTGTATACCAAAGATTTTTCAATATTCTTTAGTAATAATTTTTGCATAGGATCTATGATGAGCAATGAGACCAATGATTTTCAAAATACCACCTGGAAAAAACTGGTTACGAGCTGCAGAAACTAACTGGATTAAATGTTGCACAATAATAGTAACATATAATATATAAAGTCCACTGGGTAAAAACAGGACTGGTATCTGGCTAGACAGTGGCTCTCAACCAGGCGGGATTTTGTGCTATCGACCGAAGACATTTTTTGTTTTCACAATTGAGGGGAAACATCCTCCAGACACCTAGTGGATGGATAGAGGCAGGAAAATAGTAAACATCTTACTTACAATGCATGGGATAGTTCACCACAACAAAGAATTATTGATCACAAAAACATCAAAAGTGCCACAGCTAAAAATAACTTTGGGTTATTCTTATGGAGATATCCTTGAAGTACTTAAGGAGTTCCCAGATGATGGGCTAAAAAAGATTTGGCCCTATTTGTCTAACGAGTAAATTTAAATTTAGGACAAAATGCTCAGGATGGAAGTATAGAATTTACCATGTGCTAGAACCTAAAATGCTTTACATATATTATTTTAGTTCTTAAAAGAATTCTCTTGGTAGGTCCAATTATTATCTCTATATTTTAGATGAGGAAATTGAGGCACAAAGAATGACTTGAAAGCTACACTGTTACACATATCGAGTAAAGCTGAGCCATATCAGACAAGTTTGATGAGTCTGCAGTCTGAGGCTTTTTAAATTTCAACTTAATTAGAAGATTTGTGACAAATATCCTGGGAACTGGATGCAATGAGTGTTGCAGTGGAAATTCAAATACAAAACCATACCTCATTTCCCTGTTGATCCAGATCTTGCTCTTCCTGCTCCAAACATATAAAAAGAAAAAGTCAGCTGTAACTTAAAGTAAGTCCCATATCATTAAACCATAAGGAGAAAGAAACAGTGGTGTAACAAGACTCACAATCTAACCCACAGGTCAGGGGCCCTAAGGTTGTGTTCTTCAGTGTCCTAAGACCTTGAAGTAGATTAATTTGTATGTGTATGTTTTTTAATTTTTCAGAAAGCAATGCCATTCAAGAGAAAAAAGTTCACTGAAATTTAAAGAAAAAAGACTTCACATAACAGATACACTAAAGCAGAGAACATTATAAGGGAGAGATTAAAATGACCACTTGATTTATTTGCCAATGGAAAAGAAAATGCTTACTTACCCAAGAAAAAATTTACCCAGCAATAGCTTACCCATGAAAAGAACATTCACAATACCTCTCACGAACATTTTCAGTACAGAGTTTAAAGAACATGGGAATAAAATAAAAATTCAACAGCAAAAATGATGTTATTTAAAATGTTACTTAAAAATACTGTTCAGCAGGGAAAATATAGTAATATAAAATCCCCATAAGCTTTACCTTCACAGTTATAACTCAAGCTTTAATTGCCTAAACAAAACAATCTGCTTATGAAAATTGTTCATTTTAAACAGGTTTATAAAAAACTAAATCCTTTGCTCAAAAAATGCAAGATGTAGAAGAAGATTCACACAAGATAATTAAGACCTGCTGAATTTAGTCAAAAGTAGTTGGCATGTAACTGTGTAGTTACCTTCAACATTATGTACAATATATACAAGGGGTCTTCAAAGGTTTGCAGAAAAATGGAATTAAAAGACAATGAATTTTTTTCACGAACTTTTTGAAGCCCCTTCATATTTCTATATATAGCACAACCTAGAGACATGAAAATTCCATTTTTTTCTCATCTTCAAATTCATTGCTTTAACTTAATGAAATCAGTTCCCACCAGAATTCAATAAAGCTCCCTCCATAAAACTTAAGAGGTGGGATCTGAAGTTTTTAGGAAGTGTTATTATATCATGGAATTCTTACGTGAACTTTTTAAAGTCTTCTCATATTTTCTAAAAGCTAGTGGTAACTTTTAAAAAGCTGTCAACACTATCATTTTAATGTGTAGACACTACAATTTTAGTCTTCTTACAGGCTGTATTTCTAAGATGACTTTCCATCACAAATAGGCTTTAACCAACGTCATCCTAGTTTTGAAGGTTGATCACCCTAACTAAGTTAAAAGACTTACCTTGTCATCTTGTGGATCGTCAATAGCCAAGTCTTTTAACTCAGGACTTAGAACCTCTATGGAAGGAGTTTCTTTCTTAATGCTGTCAGAAACCTTTGGCCCACCTCTTGGTCTCTGGGGCTGTTTCTTCACAGGTTCATCTTTTGTTTTTCCTTTCTTCCCCTTCTTCCCTTTTTCTTCTTTGTTTGAACCTGCAGACTTCAGTTCATACAGAAAATATTGGTATTATCATTATCAATATTTGTTAGTGCCTTTGAGTCAGTTCTGATTCACAGTGACCCGGTATAAGGTTTCCAAGAATTAGCTGGTGGGTTTGAACTGCTGACTTTGTGGTTAGCAGTCAAGTGCTTATCCTGCAATTTAATATTAAACATTTGTTAAATATCCAACATTTAACCTTGTGACTTGTGCAGTTTTCAGTTTAAACTCAGCAGCTGCTTTGTGGGAGAAAGATGAGGCTGTCTGCTCCTGTGAAGATTTACAGTCTTGACCCTGCTTTACAGGGTCGCTGTGAATCAGAATCAACTCGAAGGAAGTCAAGATGGGTTTGGTGTGCATTTAAAAGCCAAAGTTCAAAAAAATGTTTTTGGATATTACTTACCCCCAGCAATTTCATGATAAGTTCACGTTCTTCTTCATCTTGGTCTTTGTATTTTTCCTTCATTTTTTTCATTTTACTCTACAAAAACAAAAATTGGTCTAATAACTTCAGTAGTAAAAATTGTCAACAAATACAGAGAAGCTTCAAAAAGGTTTGTGGAAAACTTGAATTAAAATATACGGAATTTTTCCATGAATTTTCTGAAGTTACCGCATATGTAAAGAAAAGGTAAAGTTTTAATTATTTGTCAAAAATTGAGCAAGACACCCATTATAAGCTAATCTAATGATCTTACTTATTGAGCACAAGACACCGTCATATAATAGTGAGGTAGTAGTTGTGAAGTGTTGTTGAGAGTTGGTTCTGACTCACAGCAACTCCATATAGCGTTTCCAAGGCTTGAATCTTTGCAGGAGCAGAAAAGCCTCAACTTAGACCTCTGTATCACTCTTCCACATAGAGGTTACAGAGATGCGTAAAATACAGTCCTCACTCTCAAGTGAATTACCATCTGGTAGAAAGACCAACAAAAAGAAGTAATGATAAATTGATGTG